CTGAGCACATGATCTGTCCTGACTCGGCTTTATTCCCGCGCCCTGGCCCAGCCTGTGTGTCGTCAAGGCCAAAATGTCATTTCTCTTCCGGCCGTCATCTGTAACCACACAGGACGCTGGAAACCAGGGCAGTTTGCTTTCGCTCTCTTCCCTCTGGCAGACAGCCTTCCCTCAGGGGCCCTCCTGCAGCTGCCCCTCTCCGCCCTGACCCCCAGCCTCCGCCCACCCCCTGTGAGGGCATCCCCCCTCTCTACCCTCCCTGGCCAGGGTCACCTGCCGGAAGCTCAGAAATGGTCGTGTCCCCCCCACATGAGCCCTTGCTGGCTGTTATCCCCCAAGGGCCTGGATATGGCTCCGGAGGCTCTGATCGGGCCCTTGCACCCCACCCCCTACCCTCCACTCCTGCCCCCAGCCCAGCTTCCTCTGGTCACTTCCTCCCTGTTCCCATGCTCCAGCCTCACCATCCCCCTGCCCCCCTCCCTGCAAGAGCCTCCCCACTGCCCTCAGGGAGCAGCACCTCCCACCCAGCCCACCTGCTCCAGACCAGGTGACAAGCCCTCCTTTGTGGCTCTATGGCCACTGTCTCTTAAAGCTCACGTGGGTCTGTCCCTACCCCCTCCCCACTCCAGAGCTGCACCTCTGCGCCTGGCTTCCACAGAGGGAAGTCCATGAGAGTCTCACTAAGCTTGCGATGAGGGATGCCTTCTAGGAATGCCTTCTTGGTCCTTAAATCAATGGTGGATGGGCTTTTCTTGAGCTGGCCATTTGATTTTTAACTAAAAACTTTCAACCGTGCATCACAAAACAGGCTCTCCTTCCTGCTGGCTGTGAGAAGGTGTAGAGCAGGAATACCCCGCACCCCCCAAGGTCTGGGTACTGAGAGGGAGCTCCTGGGGGCATTTAGGGGCCAAAACTTGGATGGGAAACTGTAGTCTTACTGCTGCTAACCTCTAGCGGATGGCGGTTCGTGCACTTCATGCCTTCATGCCGGAGGCAGAACCAAAGCAAAGCCCTCTCTCCGTTACCAGTGCTGGTAACTTTGTCACCCATACTTTTCTGCTGCATTGAGGTTGTAGGTATCTTGAAATGTCCTTCCTGCCCGTCACTGCTTCAAAATTAAGGGAGTGATTAGCCCCATTGTTAGCTCTTGTGATTTAATGTGTTAATAAAAAAGTGTGTGTGCGTGCATGTGTATCTCATTAATTTAGTCTTTTGATAACTATGGGTTTTTTTTTAAAGATTGTATTTATTTATTTATCTATTTATTTAGAGAGCAAGTGCAGGGGGAGGGGCAGAGGGAGAGGAAGAGAGAGAATCTCAAGCACACTCCCCTCTGAGCACGGAGTGGAGCCCAACTCGGGCCTCTGATCTCAGGACCCTGAGATCGTGACCTGAGCTGAAACCAAGAGTCAGACATTCAGCTGACTGAGCCACCCAGGTCCCCAATATGTTTTCATATGATTGGTTTCCTTTGTAATTCTTTGCATTTTATTGTTGGCATTTCAAGCCATTATTCAGAGAAAGTCCACAGAAGAGCTGTCCCGCTTCCCTCAAAACCCCCATCCTGGCTGGAGCTCAACCATCTGCAGCCCATGCGTGTTCAGGGTTCAGCTTCTCTCCCGTGAGCTTCTTTTTTTAATTAAAAAAATTTTATTGAGAGAGAGAGAGCAAGCGAGCACAAGCAGGGGGAAGAGGGAAAAGCAGGCTCCCCACTGAGCAGGGAGCCTGACATGGGGCTCGATCCCAGGACCCTGGGATCATGACCTGAGCTGAAGGCAGCCACTTAACCCACTGAGCCACCCACGCGCCCCTCTCCTGTGAGCTTCTTGAGACAGGCCTAGCTGGGAGCGTGCGTGTCACTGACAGGGAACGAAATGGTTGGCAGAACGGGCCTAGATGCCCCAGTCTCCCGGACTCTGCCTGCAGGCTCGCCAAGCCCAGCTTAGTGAGGCCCCTCGGCGGAAACCCGCCCCACCTCGCTGGACCCCACGCGTCCCATTTACTGTACCTTGGGGGTCTCCAGACCGCCCTGCCTCACAGGCCTTGGGCATTTGCCGCCAGGAGGGCTCTCCTAAGCCTCTCTTGGCCTTTTGGCGATTAAGACAGTGCTTCCTCACTGTCCTGCCTTCAGAAACTCTGGGAGATGGGCGCCTGGGTGGCTCAGTTGTTAAGCATCTGCCTTCGGCTTAGGTCATGATCCCAGGGTCCTGGGATCAAGTCCCACATCGGGCTCCCTCCTCGGCGGGAAGCTTGCTTCTCCCTCTCCCACTCCCCCTGCTTGTGTTCCTGCTCTTGCTGTCTCTGTCTCTGTCAAATAAATAAATAAAAAATCTTAAAAAAAAAAAAGAAACTCTGGGAGACTCCTTTCTGCCCCTCCCATGCCTTGCTTTGTAAAGTTACGTAAAAGCCGAGCTTTTGGAAGCCAATCAAGTCCCACGCTAGACGGGAGATTAAAGACACAATGAACCAATTTAAACGCCCGCACATTCTAATGTGCTTTACAAACGGAGTATTCAAAGACAGGGAGTGGCTTCAGGGAACATATTAAATTGTTAGAAAAAAAAAATCAAAACAGCTCTGAAAGGAAAACAACAGGGTGGGCGACTGAGCTCTGATTTGCAGGCCCAGGTCCCCCTTGCAGACAGCATCCGTCCCGTGCAATCTGGGGGCAGAGCCCACCCCGTGCTGGCCCTGGTGGGGGGCTCAGAGCCCCAGGTCTTCAGTCAACACTTGTTGAACCGCCAGCTGATGATCAAGAAGAAAGGGCCTGGGGCGCCTGGGAGGCTCAGTCGTTAAGCGTCTGCCTTCGGCTCAGGCCATGATCCCAGGGTCCTGGGATTGAGCTCGGCATCGGGCTCCCTGCTCAGCCTGGAGTCAGCTTCTCCCTCTCCCTCTCCCTCTTCCCCTCCCCCCTGCTTGTGTGCACGCGCGTGCGCGCTCTCTCTCTCTCTCCCACGCTCTCTGTCTCAAATAAATAAATAAATAAAATCTTTAAAAAAAGAAAAAGAAGAAAGGGCCAACAAACCAGTTTTTTTTTTTTATTTAATTTTTATTTTTAAAGTGATGGTTGCTCTTCCTAGAAAATTCCCAAAGAGCCTGTGGAAAAATAAGGAAACGAAAGCTTCCGACTGTGTGTTTCCACCATCCACAGGCAAATCGTCTTTAACCAAGTGGCCTCGAAGGCCACTGTGCCAGGAAGGGAGGCCTGAGGTCACGTGGGATGTGGCTGGAGCCACTTCGGGCCATGCCCCCTGCAGTCAGTCACGTGGACATGTCATGGCAAGACTGCCCAACCTTTCCCTAGGAGTGTAGTTTTTTGTGATTTTGTTTGCTTTTAGTGTAGAGTTGTAACTACTAAATACACAATTTTGCCTAATTTTTTGGTATCATTATATCATAAGAATTCTCCATCACCCATTCATTTTAAGCATACTTTTTGGGGGCTGCATAATATCCCGAAATGCAGTGTACCATACTTCCCTTAACTAATCTCCCACCATTGGGCATTTTGGTTGTTCCTAGTTTTGCTTTGCCATTTTAACCAATGCTACATTCGTTTTTTGGTGCGTTAAACTTTATAGCAATTCTGGGATGTTTCCACATTGGTGGAGGGCTGACTGGGCAAGGCGTTATGTTGAGGATAAGCTACACAAAATCCCTTCACATAAGATGCAGATATAAATAACTTTAATCCAAAGTCGGTTATCATTGCCATAAGGAGACAACTAGAACTGGAATACAAAAATAGTTCTGCCTGGGCTTAATGGGATTCTAAGAAAGTTATGGGCGAAAATCTGAACCACTGTGTCTGTGGCTAAAAGGTAAGGGCGAGGGAGTGGAGGGCAGCATCGAGGAGGGCTGGTTTTGCTGGGGGATCCAGGCCTGCTCCCCATGGTCTCAGCTGTGTCACTACCCCTTCAGGCCTCAGGTTTCCGGGCTGTTAAATGGAAGGGGTGTTTCTCAAACTTTGATGTGTTGGAATCTCCCGTGGATTTGGGTTTGAGTGCAGATTCTGATCCAGGAGGTCAGAGTGGGCCCCATCACGGCATCGCTAACGTGCTCCGGGTGATGCGCTGCTGCTGGTCCTGGGAGCACACTTTCTCAGTGGCCGTCTGGTTCTTCTGTCCCGGCAGAGGCACCATGCGGCCAGGTGGGTCCCCAGTGTCTTCCTGCTTCCCTGCGTCCCTGGGCCTAAGGTCCCTGCCTGGTCTGGGTGGGTCCAGATGGGCCTTCAGGAGGGTGGAGAAGGGGTTCTGCCCAGTGAGAAGTGACCCCAGGGCCAGGGTCTGGCCTTGCTCCCCACAAGGCAGGGCTCAGGGCCTGTGGTGCTAGGCCTTCCCCAAAGGTGGCAGAGCAGGTGGGGCTCATCTCAAGTGCAAGGTCAGTTGATTGTCCGTGGCTGCCACAAGCTAGGTGGTCTGTGGCTCAGGGAAGAAACACCAGTGATTGTCCGCCATGGACCCAAGTTGGTGGCAAACTAGCAACAAGACCGCTGCTAATCTGGCCGTCCACAGCCCTGAGATCGTAATATTCAGGTGAGGTTCTGGGGCTGGACTCGGCTTGGCCGATGCCAAAAATTATTTCTTCAGTTGAGGCTTCTTGATCCATTCAGATCATGAATCATTATGCGTCATGGACGTCTCAGATTGTATGTGTTTTGGGATTCTCTTTTGGAGGCGCTTCAACTCACAGAGACAGAAGAGGGTTGGGCCTGAGTCCCCAGGTAGGGTGAGAGGGAAGCAGGGAAGCTGAGAGGCCAGAGAGAATCTTTGCCAGCCCAGCGCCCTGGGCCCGCTCTCCCTGCTTAGCCACAGGAGAGACCTGTTCTCCATGGTCCTTTGGAGGACTGTGCAGCCGAGTGGGAGCACCAGGAGGGGCGCTGGTGGGGTGTGGGTCTGTCCCCAGCGTCGGTCCCTGCCTCCCCCACCGCCCACGCCGCCCTACGTTCTCCCCTGCCGGCCTGATCTCATGTGGTCCTACCTTCAGCCCCTGCAGCTGCCATGACTCAGCCACCCCAGGAGGGCTTCGACAGGAGCGTGGAGGATGCCCGGGAGTGGATGAAGGCCATGCAGGAGCGACTGCAGTTCAACGACAACACCCAGGGGCCCCGGGCGGCCCTGGAGGCCAGGCTGCGGGAGACTGAGGTATGCAGAGGCCGTGGTTTCCATGGCTTCCGTAGCCCCGTGGCCTCGGCCGTGTCACTCCCCCTTCAGGCCTCAGGTTTCCGGGCTGTTAAATGGAAGGGGTGTGTCTCAAACTTTGATGTGTTGGAATCTCCCGTGGATTTGGATTTGAGTGCAGATTCTGATCCAGGAGGTCAGAGGCCCCATCACAGCATCGCTAACGTGCTCCGGGTGATGCGCTGCTGCTGGTCCTGGGAACACACTTTCTCAGTGGCCGTCTGGTTCTTCTGTCCCGGCAGAGGCACCATGCGGCCAGGTGGGTCCCCAGTGTCTTCCTGCTTCCCTGCGTCCCTGAGCCTAAGGTCCCTGCCAGGTCTGGGTGGTCCAGATGGGCCTTCAGGAGGGTGGAGAAGGGGTTCTGCCCAGTGAGAAGTGACCCCAGGGCCAGGGTCTGGCCTTGCTCCCCACAAGGCAGGGCTCAGGGCTGTGGTGCTGGGCCTACTAGAAGAGCTGGTGCCCAGGGCCTGGCATTATGGGGCCCCCATCCAAGGATTTCTGCTCCAGGCCAGGGAACAAGGGGGAAGAACATGGGCATGAATCAGAGACCTGGGTTATAGTCTCCATGAGGATGCTAAAGTGCTCTGTGACCTTGGCCAAGTCCCTACCCCTTTCTGGGCCTCCGTTTCCCATCTGTGAGCAAAGCCAGGACTGACACATCTCTCGGGTCACATCCATTGGGATGTTCCTGGAATTTGAATTTTCTGAGTCCTTGTCAGATGAGCTTTCTGCTTCCCTACAGCGTCACGTGCTCCTCGATGACCAGAGACAGGTATTCACAATAAAACTGTGCCTGGCGGGGCAGAGAGCATACGTTCTGGTTTCTTGGACATTCTGTTTAATAGAACAGCTCACTGGATTTGAGTGAGGACAGGCTATGGAGTCTGGACATCTTGGGTTCAAATCCCAGCTCTGCTTCTTGCTGGCTGTGTGAGTCCCTGCAAGTCATTTGCTGTTGGGCTTCCATTTACTTCCCTTCTAGAAAGGGATGGTGCTAATTATCTCAGAATGGTGCTTCTCATGCCTTCACTGGCCTGACTCTGGTGGAGTCACATTTTTCACTAGCCTCCCCTGTGTCAGGCCTTGGACCATGACCTTGGAACCCCCAGGTAATCGGTTCGTTCCTGTCCCCTGCCCTCAGGTTGCTCCCGACACACACCTTAATTAAATACAGCCCTGCTCCTGCAGGGTAGGCGTGGAGGGGCCTGCCTCTCCCAGTGGTGAACGTCGCCTGCCTCCTGGTGGGCGCCATCTGAGCACTCACCATCCTGGGCCACGTGACCTTCTAGGACAACCAAGAACAAGTGCTTGATGGGGCTGGTTAAAGCCCCCCCACCAAGTGACCATCATAGCAGAAAGGCGGGAAGACTTTTAAGTCCTGTGATCAGAGGCTTCCCAATTGGACAGTGAAGTGAGCAGAGAACCCAGGGCTCCAAGGGAAGCCTCTGGGGACAACTGACTTTACTGTTGAAGCTAAAATACAGAGGAGGTAGTCAGGTCGGGGGATGCAGGGGTGAGGGTGGGGAGGAGGGGCCTCCAGGCAGAGGGGGCAGTGTAGGAAAGGCCTGGAGGTGGGCAGAGCCCAAAGCGCATGCTCGGAGCCCCAACAAGGCTAGTGTTAGGGTAGCACCGAGCATCAGGCAGAAGCAGGGGGCAGGGCCAGAGAGGTGGTTAGGGGTCAGAGGGTGACAGCCTGGAACAGCAAGCCAGGGGGCTTGGACGTCTGTTCTGCAACAGGGGATGGTGGATTGGAAATTCAGATGGTCAGGGGTTGAAGGATTCTCCCATTGGAGAGGAGTTGGCAGCCTGAAGCCCCTTCCCATGTCATCTGTCTCTTGGCCTTTCTCATCAGCAGCATTATTATTGCCACCAGGAGGCATTTATGCAATGATTAGTCCTCCCAGATCACCGAGAGAGGGGACCCGACATTCATTCGACACCTGTTACATGCTCGGGGCTGCCCTTTCGGCTTTTATGTTTAATTTTACAAAAGCCCTGTGAATGTGGTTTTATTGTCCCTACTTTTCAATAACAAAATGTGATTCCTAGACACAGTGATGAGCCAAAACTCCAGAAATTGATCTCGTCAGGGCTTGAACCCAGGGCTGAGTCCAGAGCATCACTGGCCATCCCCATGCGGGGGCCTGGGGCAGTGGAGGCAGGCGAGGTCCACCTTACTCCAGGGCTCACTACATAAAGGGGGACAGGTATGCACATAATCCACAGCACACAGGGTGTCCTGATGTTATCGATGTTATTCTCCTCCTCTAAAACCTTCTGTGGCTCCCCATTGCCCACCAAAGGAAAACCAAACTTCACCTGGTGTCAAAGTCTGCCACGCCCTACACAACCCTGTTTTCTGGCCTCAGCTGCTCCAGCACTGTCTCCGCCCCCCGCACCCCACCCCCAGCAAGCACGAGTCTCCTGTTTATTGAGTGTGGTGTGGGTGTGCTTGTGAAATGAAGCACCGCCCCCCCGCCACCGTGCCCCAGCTCCTGATGCTCTCCGTCCTGGAGCACCACAGCCCTGCATATATACTCGCTGTCTCAGGGTACTCATGCCTTTGGACCTTGGACCCTTACACCAGCAGGTCATTACCCTCCTCCGAGGCGAGGGTGGTCCTTAGGAAGAGCCCTTGCCTGGCCCAGAGACTTGACTTGGAGCCTATAGGCGGAGGCGTCCTGTCCTGGGTCCTTCACCGCTGGCTCTCCCACGGGGCTCAGGCATGCTCTTTTCTGGGCTTTGACATTTCAAAACCAATTTCGCAGTAAGAAAGAAAAACTTTCGCTCTTGCCATCTGGTGAAGGGAGCAGCTAGGGACTTTTCCAGCTCTCTAATCCATGGGACCCCTCTCTGGGGCCTGGGGGTCTCCCTTGTGGGCGCCGCCCCCCGCCGCCACCAGCTCAGTGTTGTGCGTTCCTGGTAATTGTTTGCTAGAGCAGCCAGGATGTGAGTTCCAATCCTGCTGTGATGCCTCATAGCTATGTGGCCAGGAGCGAGTCCCGCGGCCTCCTGCAAAGTGCAGGAAGAGCCCTCTCCCCCTTGTGCAGCTCAAGGACCCTCATGGTGGTGGAAGCCTTCTGGGAAGGGAGACTGGAGAGAGTGTTTCTCTGGGAAATAGGGCTCTGGCAGGCTGGGGTTCGAATCCCCGTGTGGCCGTGGCGCCTCAGGAGTTTCTGGAGCACCTGGAGCTTTAGCTTGTTGGGGTGGAGGTGCGCGTGGAGGTAGCCGCCCGGCGGGAGGGACGGAACATGGAGGCGAATGACTTACTGGGGCCCTTGGCCAACTGCAGGCCCCCCTGGCAGAGCCGGCCCAGTGGCTGAGGTAGTTTCTCGTGGTTTCGATGCAGGGATAGGTGCATGCCGACCCTCCCCGCCTGTGCCCGAGCCTCCAGGAGCTGGTCCCCCAGGTCCCGGCATCTCGTCTCTTTGCCCTCTGGTTCCCAGCCTCCGTGGCCCTGCACTCGGGGCCTCGCCTCCACCGAGCTGCTTCCTAACTGGCTTCCAGGCACCCCCTCTGTGGTCGGAGACAGGGTGCACTTCCTAGGACTTGGCTTCCAAATGCTGGACACATTGTGCTTCTCTGCCTCTGCTCAAGCCCCCGTCGCAGATGCTGCCACGTCGCTAAGAGTTCGTGCCAGTGCCACCTCCTCAAAAAGCCTCCCTGGGTTTCCCCACATTCCTCCTTGGAGCTCCAATCATTACTTTGCGGTGTCTGTGGCCCGTTTTCAGTCCTCTGTGCTCTTGGCTGCAGACCCCACCACAGCCTGCAAGTGCCAGGCCTTATTTGTTCAACCTGGACCCCAGGGCCCAACACAGTACCCAGCAGAGTACTGAGAATAGTACCCAGTATGGTACCCAGCATTGTACCCAGAATAGTACCGCACAATACCCAGCACAGTGCTCAACTCCGCACCCTGCATAGTACTAAGCATAGTACCCAGCACAGTGCCCAACTCAGTACCAAGCATAGTACTCAACACATTGTCCAGCACAATGCCCAGTATAGTACCCACTGAGTGCCCAGCATAATACCCAGCACAGTGCCCAACTCAGTCCCCAGCACAGTACTGCACATAGTTCCCAGCATGGTACTGCGCATAGTACCCAGCACAGTTCCTGCCTCATCTTGGCTACAAGAAAGCTCTGACTAACCCCATTCCTCCAGCCTTCCTGATCTAGTTGTTCTTCTCTCCCCTGAGGTTTTCCCTCCATCCAACCCCCACCTGACTGTAGTCCTCACTGACTCCTTCCAAGCAGGATCATTCTGTGGCTGCAGGTCAAGTACCCCTTCCCAGCTGGCTAGTCGCTCCTGCCAAGCACTCCTGGATCTTGCCCTCCATCAGCTATAAGAGAACCTCCCACCAGCAAGAGAGTGTAATCATGACAGCGGTGAAGAAAGGTGGAATTTTCTCCTTAAAAGCTTAGGCCCAGCTTCCTGGCCCCAGGCCAACAGTGAATATCCCATTGGTTGATATTTTGGTTTGGGGGCAGAGGTTTCTGCTTTGGGCCAGGAGGGGCTTGGTGTTCTGTCCGCCTTTGGGTCTGGCCTCTCCTCTCTTTGGTAGGGAAGCCACAGACTCACTCCCCTGCAAAGGGCGGTGGATCAGGGGGTCTGCCATGTCCCCTCCGTCCATCCTGCACCTGTCTGAGCAGGGGCGGCAGGAGAGCAAAGGGCCAGAGGCCTAGGGGAGGTCACACCGTCAGGACACTAGGCTGTGGGAAAGGGCCGTTGTCCTCAAGGGGACTTTCCAGGCCTGGCTCGTTTGCTGTCTCTGGGGGTGACGGAGAGACTGAGCTCAGCGTCTTCCCCCACAACTGTTGGCTCCCTGGGTTTATGGAGCTAGATTCTGATGGAGCCTCATTTGGGAAGCAGGTATGGGGAGGCCGCTCCAACCGCTGCAAGAGAACTGTCCCCCAAAGCTCCAGGTTTCTGTGGGTTCCCAGTGCCCTTGTCTATAAAACTGCTGTTACCGTGGCACCTCTCTTGTGAGCTTGGGGTGTGCTCATTCTGTCTACTCCTCGACGCCGGGGGTCAGAAATCTCAGGTCCTTCATCAGATTCAAGCTCATGGGATGGTAAGAAATCCCGAGCCTCACCGTGGGACCCCTGCTCCTGAGTGATGTGAAATGTTCTGTGCAGGGGGTGGGTAATCTCGCTCGGCCCAGAACAAACCGCAGGGGCCCTTGGATCTTTAGTCCACGCTAATCACTAGAGTATCTTTGTCTTCCACACCGCTCCCTGCTGCTGAGCGGGATTCGGCGTCTCTGTTGGGTTCTTGCTGCAGCCATGACCCTCTGGGGCCCTGCTGTATCCCACTGCTTGGCCAGGCCCAAAAGCAAACGAAACCCGTCTCCCCCTCTTGGGGTAGCTCCCTGCTCTCCATTCTCCCCATCCCCCCACCCCCACACTCATAGACCACAGAGACAGCCTGTGGAAGGAGCTTGTTTAATGTCTCTCTTTGATAACACAGGGAGGAGGGGAAGCCCCTCTCCATCATCATCATCATCATCATCGGTAACCATTCTCCTATGAGGTGACAAGGATTGACACCACTGCCCATTTGCACATGTTGGAAAAGCATCTACAGCATAGCTCAACCGTTTACAAAGTATACTAACCCATCAATGTTTTAAGTAACTGTATTTTTGAAAATTAATGGTATAACCATATGAGGTAGACAAAGTGGGGATTGTTATCACTATCTCAGGGTGCGAAAGGGAGGCCCAGAGTGATCCAGTGACAGCTATCAATGAAGTGGCATCTGGCTCCCCCCGGCTGGTCCCGGTGCCAACCACAGAGAAGGGTCAGAGACGGCCAGCCCCCTGGGATTTCATACTGAGAAGGCTGGCTGCCAGCCCCCAGGGAGACAGGCTGGGCAACAGAGCTTGAACTGTAAGCAAATGTGCTGTCAGTGAACAGGGATCAAAGGTGGGAAAAGACAGTACTAACAGTGGACAGTTAGTTAGTGGCTGACAGTGGAACGTGGCCAGGCGGTGTGCCCCGGGGCTCTCCCTGCATCAGGGAATGTGACCATGACCCTGGGTGGCATAAGGCCCACATTTCACAGGCCTGGAGAATCTAAGTACCATGATGAAGGTCACTCAGGTAGGAAGGAGTGGCTTTGGCATTGGAATCCAGTTGTACTTTTACTGCAGAGACCACGCTTTAGTGGCCAAAGAAGTAAATAATACCAATCAATAAGGAGAAGAGCTGATGTTAATCAGAGGCATACTAATTGCTAGACATGGTGTCTTAGTCTGGGTCCTCCAAGAGGCCAATGCCAAGATGAGATTAAAAGCTCAAGATGTTTTAATACTGGAAGTCCTAGCCTCAGCATCAGACAACAAAAAGAAACAAAAGACGCCCAAATTGGCAAAGAAGAAATCACTCTTTCACTCTTTGCAGATGACATGATACTCTATGTGGAAAACCCAAAATCCTCCAGCAAAAAAATTGCTAGAACTGCTACAGGAATTCAGCAAAGTCGCAAGATATAAAATCAATGCACAGAAGTCGGTTGCATTTCTGTATACTAACAATGAAGCAGAAGAAAGAGAAATCAAGGAACTGATCCCATTTATATGCGTTGCACCAAATTATATGGATCCCATTACATGCAATGCACCAAAAACCATAAGATACCTAGGAATAAGCCTAACCAAAGAGGTAAAGGATGTGTACTCTAAAAACTATAGAACACTTACGAAAGAAATTGAGGAAGACACAAAGAAATAGAAAAACATTCCATGCTCATGGATTGGAAGAATAAATATTGTTAAAATCTCGATGCTACCAAGGCAATCCCTATCAAAATACCATCATCATTTTTTCACAGAGCTGGAACAAATAATCCTAAACTGTGTATGGGCCCAGAAAAGACCCCAAATAGCCAAAGTAATGTTGAAAAAGGAAACCAAAGCTGGAGGCATCACAATTCCAGACTTCCAGCTCTATTACAAAGCTGTAATCATGAAGACAGTATGGTAATGGCATAAAAACAGACACATAGATCAATGGAACAGAATAGAGAACCCAGAAATGGACCCTCAACACTATGGTCAACTAATCTTCGACAAAGCAGGAAAGAATGTCCAATGGAAGAAAGACAGTCTCTTCAACAAATGGTGTTGGGAAAATTGGACAGCCACATGCAGAAGAATGAAACTGGACCGTTTCCTTACACCACACACAAAAATAGACTCAAAATGGTTGAAAGACCTAAATGTGAGACAGGAATCCATCAAAATCCTAGAGGAGAACACAGGCAGCAACGTCTGTGACCTCGGCTGCTCAACTTCTTGCTAGACACGTCTCCAGAGGCAAGAGAAACAAAGGCAGAACTGAACTGTTGGGACTTCATCAAGATAAAAAGCTGCTGCACAGCAAAGGAAACAGTCAACAAAACCAAAAGACAACCTACAGAGTAGGAGAAGATATTTGCAAATGTCTTATCAGATAAAGGGCTGGTATCCAAAATCTAAAAGAACTTATCAAACTCAACACCCAAAAAAACAAAATCCAGTCAAGAAATGGGCAGAAGACATGCCCAGACACTTCTCCAAAGAAGACATACAAACAGCCAATAGACACATGAAAAAGTGTTCAACATCACTTGGCATCAGGGAAATCCAAATCAAAACCACAGTGAGATACCACTTCACACCAGTCAGAATGGCTAAAATTAACAAATCAGGAAATGACGGATGTTGGCAGGGATGCAGAGAAAGGGGAACCCTCCTACACTGTTGGTGGGAATGCAGGCTGGTGCAGCCACTCTGGAAGCTTCCTCAAAAAGTCAAAAATAGAGCTGCCATATGACCCAGTAATTGCACTACCAGGTATTTACTGTAAACATACAAATGTAGTGATCTGAAGGGGCACATGCACCCCAGTGTTTACAGCAATGTCACAATAGCCAAACTATGGAAAGAGCCCAATGTCCATCGACAGATGAATGGATAAAGATGTGGTATATATATACAATGGAATATTACTTAGCCATCAGAAAAATGAAATCTTGCCATTTGCAACAATGTGGATGGAACTAGAGGTATTATGCTAAGCGAAATAAGTCAATCAGAGAAAGACAATTATCATATGATCTCACTCATATGTGGAATTTAAGAAACAAAACAGGTGAACATAGGGGAAGGGAAGGAAAAATAAAATAAGAAGAAAACAGAGACAAACCATGAGAGACTCTTAATCATAGGAAACAAACTGAAGGTTGCTGGAGGGGAGGTGGGTGGGGGGATGGGGTAACCGGGTTATGGGCATTAAGGAGGGCACGTGATGCAATGAGCACTGGGTGTTATATGCAACTGATGAATCACTAAACTCTACCTCTGAAACTAATAATACACTATATGTTCCTTAAATTGAATTTAACTTAAAAAAAATTTTTTTTTTTAAAAAAACCTCAAGATGTTTGATAGGGAAACATCTGTGAGAGAAAATGAGTTGGGAGCCCCATGAGGCTGGGAAGGTGAGGTCAGTCTGATACAGGTCCGACCCCCCAGTCCAGGAGATCAGGGAGTGTCTGGGACTGCAGTGTGGATCTAAGGGAGTCTGGCAAGGCCGTGGAGCCTCCTGGACCAGTCACCCATCAGAGGAGCCCAAAAGCCCATAGGAACAGGTCTGCCTTGGTGTTTCTGCTTGGTCACTGGAGGGAGCAGCTGAGGGGCCCTGGGTCAAGCCCACTCCCGTCAGTACACCTGCGAGGCAGATTCTCACAGCCCCACACACAGTGACATGCACCTTGCATTTTCTCATTTCATACTGAAAAAAAAAAAAAAAATCTGGGAGCCAGGTACTATGAATGATCCCATTTTACAAATGAGAAAACCAAGTCCAGGGTGCCAGGCTGCTGATAATGCAACCTGTCTGAGTTCACAGAGCTGGAAGCGGCCAAGTAGGGAAGGGAAGGAAGTTACATCATCAGCTCTGTGGTGGTGCGCTCATCTCCAAGGCCCCCTGCTTCCAACCTCAAGGCCGTTAGCTGGCTGCCCACAGTCACGGGAGAAGGATGCAGGAGCCACGATGAGAACCCCAGCCCCTCTGGCCTCCAAGTCCTGGCTCTTGCCAACATGCCACTGTCTTGCCAAGGCTCTGCCCGCTTGTATTTTGTCTGACCCCTGGAAACTGGCTTTTGTGTCCACGACAGAAACTATGCCAGCTAGAGCCGGAGGGGCGCGTGAAGGTGGACCTGGTGCTCCGGGTGGCGGAAACCCTCCTGGGGTGTTGCCGTGAGGACCAGAAGCCCGAGATCCTGGCCCAGCTGAAGGACATCAAAGCCCAATGGGAGGAGACGGTCACCTACATGACTCACTGTCACAGGTAGGGTGGCTGGGGACCCTGGCAGGCCTTTGCAGCTGCTGGGGACCCTCCTTGGCTGCCACCACACTGTCCTGGGGCCTCTGCCCAAGGGACATTTCTCCAGTCCTGGGGTCGCTGGGAATGGGATGTTCTCTTGGGATTTTGGCAAGCGCCGCCTGCCTCTTTCTAATTATACTCAAGCTTAATGATGATAATAGACAGTGGGAGTCCCCTCGTGTTTGGCCAACAATTAGTTCTTAGTAGACTTGCCATGTGTTCGTCCTCCAGCAGAATGGCAGAGTGGCTCTGGAGTGAAAATTGCCTTGCCAGCAGTTCAGCCTAGATTCTCTGCCTAGACCCGGGAGCCAAGGAGGGATGGGGTTAGACAGACCTGAGATTGCCCCTTGCTCTGCTGGTTACTTGCTATGCGGTCTTGGGAAAGTTACTTGACCTCTCTGAGAGGCCAGGCTCCTCATCTGGATAAGGGGTGTCATCAAGTGTTCCTTGAAGGCGGTCGAGAAGATGGCAGAGGATAACAAATGTCAAGGGCAAGGCACAGTAGGCCCTCGGTACATGGGAGCCGCCAGCATCCCCTTCATCTTTCTGAAACCAGAATGTTGAGGGCTGGGGTGACTTGGCCCAGTGCTGTCTGCTAGAATTCCAAAGTGGTTTGATGTGGGCTGGAGAGATGGGGCCATCTCCATGTTACAGACAGGGAAACTGAGGTGGGCGAAGAGGCAGGGAGAGGCAGCAAGCTCATGGCACCTCTGGAACCCACACACAGGCCCCCAGCCTTCTGCTTCCCTGAGCCGGGGACAAGCCCCCAGATACTGCTGCACTCCGGACGTTATTAGACATGGGGAATCATGGCCCCACGCTCTCTGTCTGCAGCCGCATCGAGTGGGTGTGGCTACACTGGAGCGAGTACCTGCTGGCTCGAGACGAGTTCTACCGCTGGTTCCAGAAGATGATGGTGGTGCTGGAGGCCCCCGTGGAGCTGCAGGTGGGCCTGAAGGAGAAGCAGTGGCAGCTGAGCCACGCCCAGGTGCTGCTGCACAACGTGGGCAACCAGGCCGTGCTCCTGGACCGGCTGCTGGAGGAGGCGGCCTCCCTGTTCAACAGGATCGGGGACCCCAGTGTGGACGAAGATGCCCAGAAGAGGATGAAGGCCGAGTACGGTGTGGTGAAGGCCAAAGCCCAGGTGCGTGAGGTGGGGTGGGCTCTAGCTTCACCCCTGCATCCACTTATCCGCCACTGTTTACCCATGCAGCTACACATTCGCTCCCTAAATATCTACCCCCGCCCCGTACTTGCCATCTACTGTGCATCCACCCAGCACCCAGTCACCCCGCGGCCACCGCCATGCATCCACGTGCTCGCCCTCCTACCCGCTCCCCATCTGTCTCCCCACTGAACTACCCAATCTGCCGTTCGTTCTCCCCCAACCCACTACCCCTCCCCAGCACCCCCCACCATCTCTCTGCACCCACCCCCCCAGCCATCTGTTACTCATCCAGCCATCTCCCACCAGCCTAACCAAGCTCCTATTCACCCCCTGTCCACACACTGCCCACCCGCCTCGCTGCCACACATCTGCCTTCCATCTCCTCACCCACCCACCCCTCCGCCTTCAGCCACCCATCAGCCTATGGGTACCGTCCATACACCTGGTGCTGCCCAGCACTGAGTACACACGTGGTGCTTAGCACGTGTACACTGACTGATGGTGTGACGCTCACCGTTGCCCGGCTTCTCTCCTTTCCCCGCTCCCTCCTTCCCTCTGCCACCCCAGCCCTTCCTTCTCCTCGCTTTTGACCTTCCCCCACCCTTCTGCCCGTCCTTTGGCCCCATACCCACACCTCATTATATCCTTGACTATTTTTTTACAGATCTTATTTATTTATTTAATTATTGAAAGTGTGCAAGCAGGGGCAGGGGCAGAGGGAGAGGGAGAGGGAATCTCAAGCAGACTTCCTGCTGAGCACAGAGTCCAATGGGCCCATATATCTTTGATTTTTAACCAGTCTGTTGAGTTATCAATTTCAATTATGAGTATTTTTTAGAGAAATTCTAATTTTTCTTTTTTTAGTTACCTCCATTGTTCTTTCTCTCATTGTATAAATTTTGCCCTCCTTCCAGATACGGGCTCCATCTGTAAGCATTCTAAGTATACGTAGTTTACAGTCTCCATCAGATTGTTCAGGTAGCTGAAGTCCAGAGCCTGACCTGACAGCCATTGGGTCTCCTGATGGGATGAGTGATTTCCTTGGGGCCTTTGTAGTTTTGAGGTGTGAGTTCGTCCCGAGCAGCACTCTATCTGTAGATCCCTGTGGCTGGGGCCTGACCCTCCGAGTGGCCTATGTTTGCTTCAGCCAGGCTCCCCCAGGAAGTCACCTTCATGAGTCCTCTGTTCATATCAGTGTGTTCGCTGGGGAGTTCCTGTTTCTAAACTTGAACCCCAAGCCAAAATTATGTGAGAGGCCCCTGGTTCCGTACTCTGAAAGGTGATTGTTTTTCTCATTTGTTTTGGTTTTATTTACATCCCAGAGCCCAAGCTGAAACCCAGACTTCTTCTTTCTTGTATTTTGCATATGGGGAGATTTTTCTAGTTCGCCCTTAAGGGTTCTGACATTTGGCATTGCCTCCTCTGGGCCCAAAGTCTGACTTCCTCCACCAGCCTGAGCACTAAACCCAAGAAAACCTCAAGCACACCTGTGAGTTTAGCAATCTCTAATCTTTGCTTGTGGTCCACTAGATGTCTCTTCCTTTGGTGTGTGCACACACAGGCCTGCGTTTAAACAACGCTTGTTAAATTTTGTGCAGCATCTTTGGCTGTCGGTCATGGAAGGGTATTCAGGCTTTCTAGCCCACCATATTGCTGGGTCCTTCCTGATTACAGTTTAAGGGCAACAGGCCTATAACGAACAGGGAGGGATCCTGGAATGCACTAACAAGAACAGGACTGAGGGGGGTGCCTGGGTGGCTCAGTCGTTAAGCATCTGCCTTTGGCTCAGGTCATGATCCCACGGTCCTGGATCGAGCCCCACATCGGGCTCCTTGCTCAGCAGGAAGCCTGCTTCTCCCTCTCCCACTCCCCCTGCTTGTGTTCCCTCTCTTGCTGTGTCTCTCTCTGTCAAATAAATAAATAAAAAATCTTTAAAAAGAAAAAAGAATTAAAAAAAAAAAAAAGAAGAACAGGACTGAGGTCCCTGAATGCTTGGGAAGGGACCTGGGTTCAAGCCAGGCTCTGCTGCTTCCCAGCTGCATGGCCTCGGGGCAGCTCACCCTACCTGCAACCAGGCTCTTGCAACCAGGCTGAGGACTGAATGAGTTCACAAGTGAGCCCTTTGAAAACTGCCAGATGGCCTCCCAATAGAAATTTACCTCTACTCTCAATAGCAGTGAGAATAAATAGCAACCACCATGGAGCTTGAGACACAGCTCACACAGGTGCCCGGAGCTGTTTGTTGAATGAATGAGAGCCCCACCCTTCAGCTTGGCGGCACAGAGTTCCCAAGGTCCCAGAGGGAAGGGACAGGAGGTTGTGGGGCAGCTATGTCCAGGCCAGAATGGAGGGGCAACGTGGGTAGGGAGCCTGCTTCTCATATGTGTAGCCAGTTGGCCCTCCCCACATCCTGAGTGGTGGCAAGGACCATGATTCTCCAGGTCTGCCCCTGGGGCCCAGGCAGAGAAGGTTCCTGCCCCCGTGGCCTCCTTGATGTGACTTTATAGGAAACAAGTGCTCCTGTCAATCAGCAGAGAGCCTTTGCAGCATGCAGAGGACAGGAAATGGAAAGTAGTTAGGCTTGTGGGGGTGTGGGTGTGTGTGTGTGTGTACACGTGTGTGTGTATGTGTGCGTGTGCATGTGTGGAGGGGGCGTGCCAGGGGCCCCAGGTGAGCACCAGTCCTGGCCCACGTGTGGAAATGGTCACCTTAGAGATCCTCAAGGTCACTCTGGGGGACCCTCCCCTCATTGGATCCAAAAGATCATAAAGCATGATTCTTCTTGGCGACATCTAAGTCTCTTCATGTCTTTGGGCTCATTTGGTCCTCGCAGCCTTCTCATGTGGTAGATAGAGCAGGTTTGACTGGGCCCATTTTGCAGACTTAAACAAACATCTAAGTGGCAGGCCCCACTGTCCCACTAGAAAGACTCAGAAGGTTCTAGGCGATGCTCGAGGTTGGCTCTACCCTCAGCGGTGCCTCAGGTCCTGGCCCCGTGCCCATCAGGGAGGGTCACGCGGAGAAGGAGGAAGGCAGCAGGGAGTGGGAGGTTTGGAGCCCCTGGAGGTGGGAGCACCGTGCTTCCTGGGGTTTCCAGGAGGCAGAGACCAGCTAGCAGTGTCTGCAGGGCAGGAGCATGGGGGCTCCCGTGTTTGCAGGGTGACCTGATCCTGCGTGGAGAAGTAAATTCAGTTTGGCTTTTCCAGCTGTTGGCTGAAGCTCACAGACACTGGATTTTCTCTTCCTGGCCACCAGAGCCTTGGGAGCTCTGTTCCTACTCACGGGGGGCCCTGTCAGCCCATGGACGGGGAGGGGCTGGTGAGCCATGGAGCGGCTGCTTGTCTCCCCCAGACTGGGCCATAGCAGACCAGAGGTGCCGGGTAGGGAGGGGCCGGGGCAGGCCCCTGCGAGCCCTCTGAAGTCATATGCAAACCTGTATGAGTGCATTTTGCTGGGGAGAAGAGCTATAGCTTCCTTCAGATTCTAGAGGGGGGCGTGAGCTTCCGAAGACTGAGAATTTACTGAGCAAATCAAACTTTGGCACTGTCCTTAGTAAGAGATTTAACTTCCAACCCCAAGGTCCTCATTAGTGAAATGGGATATAGCCCCCCAACACACACCAAGCCCCGGGACACAGCCCAGCCTTCCAGCCCTAGACAACAGGAAAATGCCCGAGCCCTATCCTAAGCAAGGTGGGGAACGCTGCGTGTCCTGGGGCCCCTGAAGATCCTTCGTGGTCCACATGCCTCCTGGGCACCTGCCTTGGACATTGGACAAAGACCTCACCTTGCATGGAAGGCTTTCCCGAGGCAGATAAGAAAGCCATCCCAGGGTGGGCAGCGGAAACGCTCCTAGCCCAGGGACAGGACAAGGGCCGTGTCAGAATCCCCAGGGATCCAGGCCTGTGCTCAGGGTGGATCTCCGTGGCATTGTCCTAGTCCGCTCAGGCTGCCATAACAGAACACCAGAACACAAATGTATTTCTCATGGTTTTGTAGGCTGTGAAGTCCAAGATCAAGGTATTGGCAGATTCAGCGCCTGGTGAGCGGTCTTTTCTTGGTTTGTAGATGGCTGCCTTCTTGCTCTCATGGCGGAGAGAGGGGACAGTAAGCTTCTGCTGTCTCTTCTTAGAAGGGCACCGATCCCATCCTGGGGACCCCACCCTCATGACCTCAAGTGATCCTAATCTCAACGGCCCCACCTCCAAATACCAGCACGTTGGGGATTAGGGCTTCAACCTATGAATCGGGGGGTCACAACTCAGTCTGTAGCAGACATGCTTTGTATTAATACCTTGCCTTTCGCCAATGAAGAGTCCATTTCAACATTTCTCAAGCTAGTTAGCAGGCCATAGTTTTCACCCCCCTGAAAATCCATATTTGACTTCCGATATATTCATTAGCAAAGCCACTGGTGTTGCGGGGGACAGGAGCACAGAGGCACTGTGGGGCCCACCTCTGGACTGTGGCCTTTGTGGCCACCCCCTGGAGGGAGGTCCCAGGACTCCATCTGCTGGCCAAGCTCTGGGGTGAGCAATGGCATATTGTCAACTCCAGACCTCAAGTGTCAAGAATAGAGCAGGCTGGTTGCCAGTGGGGTCCTGCTTGTTTACTATGAGTTTTATTTTTAATCCACCAATTATGTTTTGTGAAAGGGCCAGGCGCCCAGCAGCAGTTGCGCCCCCCCCCCCCCGCCGCTTCCCAAGGCGGCTCTCAAAGCGGGCGTGTCCATCTGAGAGAGCCTTTGCAGCATGCAGAGGACAGGAAATGGAAAGTAGTTAGGCTTGTGGGTGTGTGTGTGTGTGTGTGTGTACACGCGTGTGTGTATGTGTGCGCGTGCATGTGTGGAGGGGGCGTGCCAGTTGCCCCAGGTGAGCACCAGTCCTGGCCCAC